GATAACAAATATTTTATTTATAATAAAAAAATACAAATAAAAAATTATTTAAAATATTGTGCTAAACCAATTGCTCCAATTTGCTCTTTTCGTTGTTTTAGCATAAAAATTTGCTTATCATCCACAGATAACTTATAGTTATATATTCAAGTTATAAAATAGCTTTTTTCATCCTTGAAACTTATGGAATGTAATTCTTCTCCAGTTATCACATTCATAAAAACTACATCCATCGACTCATATGGCTTATCATTTTTATCTACAAGAAAAATCCTCACGATATCACCATTTATCCCTTCGACTGTTACCTTGATATTCTCGTTACTGGTATCAAAAATTTTTGTTTGTTTACTCTTATATGAAAAAATGTTTTCAGACATTGTAGCTGTTAAGGAAAATTATTAATATATAGACCTATAATTGTATTTCTGGTATGTAAAAAAAAATGAATATAATGCATGCCTTAGAAATAAATTGCGATATATAAGCCTTTTGATAAAAAATATATATGAGCAAAAAATAACATTATTGCTAATTTATCTTTAGGTGGAAACTTGCTTATTTTTATACCGTCCATTCGCAAGATCTAAAAACTTGCCAGAAAAAAAAGTTTATATGATTAGTAATTAGGTTAAGGTAACGCAATCTAGATCACACCATGTAAAGCAAGTCTATTCGGTCATAAGTTCCAAATACTGAATATATTTTGTAGTTTTTTTTAGATAAATTAAACCCCCTTAGATTCGACGATCTCTCCTGCGAAGTGAAAAAGTTAACGATCTCGACGATCTGGGAATTCCAAGTTCCTGCGACATATGAATTTTGATAAAACTACTGATAAAGAGCGATAAACACATTCCACTTATAGCTCATTCGTGCATATTCTTATCACAAGATCGTATATAACAAGGTTCTGGAATGACGTATTCATAATATTCGATTGTGAAAAATAATTCTGCAGAAAAGTAACATAAACCACATGACTAATTCGTGTGACCTGCATTACTTTTATACAGTAACAGTACGTATATTTTTAGAATTCCAGATAAAATGTATTCAAGCGTCGGAAACAATAATTCACAAGATGAAATTGTTAAAGAATTATGTGACTTGTATAATAATGAAAGGATGAAAGGCAAATTTACTGATTTGATTTTTGACACAATGGATCAGTTTTTAGTTAAAGAGGATCAAAGGTCAAACGTTTTAATAAAATTGCTTTCGAATAATCAAATCAATCCTGTAGTTCAAAATATTCTTGCGGGTTGTTACCGCTTGGGTAAATGGGTTCAAAAGGATGAATCTAAAGCATTCAATTATTATCAAAAATCTGCTGAGATGGATGATTCCGACGGAATATTTGGACTTGGTTATTGTTATGAAAAAGGAATCGGAGTCGAAAAGGATGAACATAATGCCTTCAAGTATTATCAAAAATCGGCTAACATGGGGCATGTTGTTGGAATATATAATATTGGTTACTGTTATCAAAATGGAATTGGAATTGAAAAGGATGAATGCAAGGCCTTCAAGTATTATCAAAAATCAGCAGAGAGGGGATGTACTGCTGGGATAAATAAGATTGGCTTGTGTTATCTAAATGGAATCGGAGTAGAAAAAGATATGCTCAATGCGTTTATTAATTATCGGAAAGCTGCCGTTATGGGTGATGCTAATGGAACTCATAATTTAAGTTATTGTTATAGAGAAGGAATCGGAACTGAAAGAGATATAAATAAGGCATTCGAATTTATTAAAAAATCAGTTGATATGGGTCATGATTGCGGAAATTTTGATCTTGGTGTTTTTTATCAATACGGCTTAAGAGTAAAAAAGGACGAATACAAGGCTTTCGAATGTTATCAAAAAGCTGCAGATGTGGGTAATTCGATGGCATTAAATAATCTTGGCTATTGTTATAAAAATGGATTTGGAGTTAGCGAGGATGAGCATAAGGCTTTTGAATATTTTCAAAAAGCTGCCGAGATGGGAAATTCTATAGGAATGTATAATCTTGGTGTTTGCTTTCGAAACGGAATTGGAACAGTAAGAGATCTACAAAAGGCCAACTATTGGTACCAAATGTAAATAAAAATCTGTTTAAATATTAATCCTTATAAATTTATATGTTTAATATAAAGTTTATTTTTAAATAGGGAGAAAAAACTAACATTAGGTAATTCATATCAATATTGTTATTTAGTTGTAAAATAACTGATTTTTTTTATTCGTTTATCAGTTACGGATGAATGGACAATTAAAAATTCTGATGTCGATAATGATTTGAAAAATATATTGGTAAAATATCAATTGCCATGGGTCCCTTATAATGAGTTTAAAGATATTAAAAAAATAGGTAATGGTGGATTTGCAACTGTATTTTGTGCAACTTGGCATACACCAAATGTTATAAGACGTGTTGCTCTGAAAGTACTTCATGGGTCAAGTGATTGTTATGATGAATTTATGAACGAGGTATTTTATTGAAACATTTTGTTAAGTTTGCATATTAATGTATTATTTATAAATCTTTTTTTTTTAATCATAAGTTGGAGGCCTTTTGCAAAATTAGTCTTAAATATCCCACTTTTTTAAAAATTTTTGGTATATCAAAAGACATTGTTTCACATAATTACATTCTTATTATGGATTATTCGAAGTTGGGCTCTTTACGTGAAAATCTTCACTCCATAGTACAAATGAAATGGGAAGCTAAATTAAACCTGTTACATTGTATTGCTTTGGATCTTGAAGCAATTCATTCCCAAGACCTTGTTCATAAAGACTTGCATAGCGGTAATGTTTTACAAGTTAGCTTACATAGTGCATATATTGCAGATTTAGGGCTTTCATCATCTGCGAAAAATGATGAAATTGTGGGTGTACTACCTTATATTTCTCCGGAAGTTTTACAAGGTCAAGGATTTACACAAGCTGCAGATATTTACGGATTTGGAGTCATTATGACTGAAATAGCGACTGGAAAAAGACCTTTTGACGGATCTGATTTTGATAATGATCTTGTAATGAAGATTCGTGATGATGGATTGCGTCCAAATTTTGCACTTAGCACCCCTGGTTGTTATATTGAATTGGGTACAAAATGTATGGATTCAGATCCACAAAAACGACCTAATATTAATGATGTTAAGTTGGCAATCAATAATTGGATCGATCAAATAAACTCTGATAACGATAACAAAATCAAAAAACAATTTCTGGATTCTGACGTCTATAACAGTTTATTTCCAATTACTCTTCAAAAAAAACATCCTGATCACGTGTATACTAGTGAAATTAGAACATTATTGAAAATGGAATAATTTAATTACCTTCATACTTGTAACAAATTTTTTACAAGAAATTTATGTAATTTGTTTTATCTTTAAACATTATAAACTAAGAATAAATTTGTAAGTTAGTAGTTTTTGGCAAATAAGCATGCATCTAATTATACAAGTGAATTAAAACAGAATTTTGCATAAAATACGGATTGAACGATGCCTTATGTTAAGCCAACCCTGGACCGAAGATCACCTTCGATCCCAAACCATAGGCTGGATTGCAGGTCAACTGATCACACCTTTAATACAGAGTTGCTCAAATATCTCGTGACTTGTGTCTAAATAATGATTGTTAAAAATATCGCATAAGTTATATATTTACAAGTTGAAGCCACCCATTTCACAGCCCAAATTTATCAACACGCATGTATCGGGTATATGTTTATTCTTTGGTAGGCGAACCCGTCCTTTGGATATTCACAGCCCCAAAAAATCGTGATGCTAGGTGTTCGATCAACATATGGGGGTGAGACAATAGATATCAAGCAAATTTTTTATAATAAAATTTTTTTATAACTTTAAGCAAGAATAATTTAATACAAACTTGACCAAATTTAATAAAATTCTTTTTAAATACTTTTTATAAACTTGTACAATTAATTTTAAAAAAATTTTTACTAAATTTGATTAAATTTTTGTTAAGTTATTCTTGTTTAAAGTTTTAAAAAAAACTTGTTAAAAATATTTGCTTGATTTCTGTTGACTCAACCCCATATAATTAATACTACATAACGATAATGATAACGTTTATTCTAAATTTGTTAAATTTAGTGTTTATATCATACGTAGAACCAAATGTTGCATGTCAAATTATTATAGTTCCCGTATACAGGTATAACCAAAATGTCACAACAATCTAATTCCAGATATAGAAATGTGCGATTGTTGATTGATTTGCCGTGTCCACTGATTGTGGTGCCGAATTTAGTAAACAATTTAATTATTTGTATCGGTATACCAGGAACGGAGTATGAAATACGAAGTGTTGGTCATGTAGCGAGTTAAGTGGAGTCGCGGAATATGAGCATCTGATTGGATGGTACTTCCTTGTGGCTTTGTGTGCATGCGTTTGTTATGATGATCATTGCCTAAATTTATTATGCTATTGTCAGAGGGACGTCATTATGGCATACTTACCTAATTAGAGTTGCCCATGACGATCCATCTGAAACATGTGCGCCCGGCCCCAAAAGAAGCCATATGAAAGTACACAAGCCTCCATGCGGGACCCAATCACTCCTCCAATTAAAGTAAGGTCGACCTAGACCAACCTATTGCGCTAAGAATGGACATTGACTCCATCTGCCTTACTTGGGTTAGGTGTGAGGCGATGTCAAGGGGGGTGCGATTGAAGACAATATGATGGGTTCTGGCCCCAGGATCGAAAAACTGAAACATTCCTCATCGGTACTATGAAAACCGTGAGAAATGTTAAAGTAACGAAAGCCTGTGTGGAAGGGGGTTAAAGGTTATAACAAATAAGGTTGGGAAGTGTAGAGAATAATGAGAAGAGTCGTGGTCTTATACGGGCTCTTCCAATGGTAAAATTCATTATAAAAAGGGTGGAATTTCCCCCTCCCAAAAGGTATCTCAGAATAGTCCAGCATAGTTCAATATAGTTCAAATAACCCCTAACGATATACTTGTACTGCCTCTACAAAATATTAATAAAGTTATTAATAAAGACCCTTTGAACCGTCAATACAATAATGCTCTTTAAAAACCGTAGTACTTATCTTGTAACGCTCCTTAAACGATCGCCTTGACCTTGTGCCAAATCGTTAAACCGCCTCTATTATCTTTGAGGAACGTTACGCGGCATAACCTTTTTTCTAGCAACAATTCGTTGCATTCGCCCCATCTCTGGACATGACATTAAACCCATCACACTATAATAATACTAGGATGTAGCAGGTTATATCTTGATTTTTTTCGAATTTGTACAAGCAATGTATTGCCGCAGATGCTGATTTATATATATGTACTATATATACATATTCCAGGAATGGAATATGAAATACGAAGAGTATGGTTTACGAAAGAGTTAAGTGGTGTCTCTTCTGTATCTGATTGGATGATCATTGTTGTAATTAGGGATTTCTATATTTGTATGCTTTGCCCTTAAAACGTGTACGTACCAGTTTCAGTCCACATGATCTTCCGGCTAATTAGATCTGAACTATAGTATGATCGAATTATAACACTAAAGAGATTACATATTCATTATATCATTAATTTATGCAAATATTAAAATGTTCTCTAAATAATAATATACCAGGAATGGAGTATGAAATATAAAGAGTATAGTTTACGAGCAAGTTAAGTGGAGTCATCCGATTGGTTGATCTAATCTCATGACTTCATCTATATTTATACTCTATGAGGCTTTTTGTCTATCGTTATTGACAAATTATAATGTTAGATGTTTGTGATCAAGGGATTATTCTAGATTATTATAATATTATTTATTATCAGGCAGCTTACTATGATTTATCTGCCCAATAATTTTATTATTGGGCAGAAAAAAAAGTTTAAAATAGTTTAAAATAGTTTAAACTATCATTTATGCCAATAATAAATCATTGAGCAGAACGTTATAGTTATCAGGCAGTGACTGCCTGATAACTATTTATTATCATGACTTTTATCTCCATAATACATACATGAAGTTATTCTTGTTTTTACCTGTTTTTGTTTGTGATTTTTGAAACATTTATATTATATAAATTTTCTGCTTTACTAAATCAGATATTCTTATGTCAAGAAAATCCCAGGCTGAAGATCACTTTCGACCCTATATAGAACAAATGCGAAAAACATAAGAAATTGTAAAAAAAACATAAATAACACAAAAAATTTACTATAACTAACTTTTGACCTCTAAGTAAAAGTTTTCAGAATGAAATTTTACTTAAAAGACATGATTGTTATTATTAGATATATAGAGAATTTTTGATATACAATGACTAGAGATAGGCAAATCACAGTTTTTCAAAAAATCCTACATGGAATTCATTAAATCTAGGTGCTGCAAGGTTGAACCTTAATTTTGATTAGCCAATGGCTGTGATCGATAAAATTTTAGTCTGCATTATACATAATTTTGGTCAGAGTTTAATTTTTTAATTGTTTAAAGTTTGGGTCTGTGTAATAGTAAAATTAACCCAGAAACATTTTTCACTTAGAGTTGAAAATTACATTTTACAAATTTACAATACATCTAATTTTATATAAGTTTTAGTAACATGGATTTCATTTAATTTCATGGGATATATAGTACCTAGAGATGTGCAAATCACAAGTTCTCCAAAAATTCTGTATGTGATTCATTAAATCACAAAATTTTAAACCCTAATTTCACTTAATAGATGGCTATGATTTCTTTACTAAAAATTCAAATAATTTTGCCTAACTTTTGGTCACTGCCATTGGCCAATCAAAATAGTGAATTTCTACGTATTTGTTGTAAGGTTTAATAGCAGTAATTACATTAAGCACGTCCTTGGTTAAAGGTTTCATCTGATCCAATTTTTGTAAGATGATTCCAAATATTATTATTACTATGCATGTTATTTATTTTTAAGAGTAACTTAATCATAGAGAATATTTTTGTAATGTAAATGAAAGATACCAGCAGCAAAAAAAATAAATTCTTATTATTAAAAATTAGCTAAATATGTTAATGCAGGTCAGATATTATATTAATGCTAGCCAGATATTATGATAATGCTAGCCAGATAATCTTATTTTGGGATCATATTAAAAATCCTATGCATACCTATTTCTAATTATGATCTATATCTTTTTTGCCAGCAGCTTAGAAATTTCTTAAAATAAGGAAATTCCACTAAATCAGGCTTGTGGTTATACTAGTTTATAAAATTTTACCTAACTAAATTCATTTATTTTAGCTGTCCTAGTTCAATAATTCAAAGTTATCTCTTATTTTCAAACTATACACTTAAGAATTAAACTATTTATTGTTTTACTAACCTGCTTACTGTTATTGAGCTTGATTCTTTGTTTTTTATACTGTTACCATTATAAGGAGATCTTTTATTAATCATGTTGAGTTTAATTTCCATGATCATAGGTAGACATTTATCTGATTGGATAATGTAAACCAATTGCCCAAATAATTTATTTATACAGTTTAAAGTACTTGCTAAGAATGTAATTTTTTACTAACAAAAAAACACTATAAAAGCTTTTTCTAACTTTGAAAGAATGTTTATATTCATTATGCAAAAATAATCAAAAATAATCACTACCCCAAGAACTTCACTTAGATATGAATATTTATTATAGTACTAGTCATATTAACTATATGTAAGCTCTAAATTCTGGAATTGCCAACAAAAATAAGAAGTTTAAGATGTTATGCATAAGATCCAAATCAATGAACTTTGTTAATACCATTTAGCATGTTATTATAACAACAAGCATATACTAATGTTCTTATTTTATGTATCTTAATGTTATAGAGTTGTACTAATATATATATTGAGTATTATTGTTTTATTAATTACATAGGTTAAAAGTTGTGCTGTATCTCTAATAATGAACATGATAATAAATATTAACTTTTTAGAACATAATTAATAAATAAAAATAGGTTTGCTAATAATTTATTCACTTATTAACTCTTTAATAGGTTTGGGTTTTTATAATATTATATTTATCTCACTTTATATATATTTATCTGTTTTTCTAACTTTATGTAATAAATTCTTTGTATGTAATTATTGGTTTGTAATTTTCTTGTAGCTAAATTTTCTTTTGTCTTCTAGTAGTATTAAAATGAAAAATGTTTTAAAAACTATGTAATTTGATTGGTTAATTATTTCAGGCAAACTGGTTAGAATTAAAAATGCTAGCAATAGGAGCAAACAAAGAACTTATAATGAAAAAAGCTTTATCTGCAACTCTATTTAAAAATCCATCTTCTATTCTTGTTTTTGTGCAACTATGTTGCACAA